TTCTTCTCAACTCTTAGATTCCCCTCCTCAACCACTTTCCTTGCCTGATTCTTACATTGTTGCACATTGTTTTTTTAGAGTTCCTTGTTCTGTGGCCCATAACTAGTGTCCCTCCTCCTGAGAGGCCAGATATCATGGGGCTTGGTGATGAGTTGTTTCTAGAACCTCCTCACTCCCTCATCTTTGGTTCTGTGGGAGCATGGCTCTTATACTTTGTTTACCTGTGGTATCACTTTACATAAAACCCTTGGGCTGTACATATTTTCTAACACTAGCTTTCTTTGTTTTTCAGGGCTCACACTGGTCTATTTTCAGCTAAGTCTTGAGCAATTTCACATGGAGAATGCAGTTGTTGGGTCTGCATCTACCACTATAAGGACATTTAGTATCTCCCACTCCTGTCCTGAGAGGCATTATCTACTACAACCTACTTCTCCTTTTTTGGGAGTCTGCTTGTTTAAGTTTGCTTGTCAGGCTCTTCAGTCTGTATTGACTCCCATTCAGTATCTGATTCATTTGGGAGTATTTACGTCCCTGTTTTCTTGGTGGGATGGAGCTTCTGGTTTCCAAAGCTATCATGTATCTTATCTATGAATGTGGTTTTGTCAGCTTCTTGTGATGAGTTCTTCAAGAGTGTTCGGGATCAGTTCATGAAGTTTTGGATAATGGACAGCTGCATTGCAGACTCTGGTGAGGAAGAGCATCAGATCATTGATTTCATCCAAGCTGAATAACATCAGTAACAAATGCAGAGAGGTCCAATAGTCGAACTACTGGATGAAGTGGGGAGTGTACGTTGCTTTGCAGTGTCAATGTAGGCTCTTTGGGGTACAGGTAAGGGTTGATGTAGAGGTTAGTGATGAGATGGATCTGTCAAAGGTTTGGCAGTCTTCTTGGAGAAAGTCTGCCTCTGAGGAAGGGGTGGCATATCCTGGTAGGGTGTAGGTCTGGCTGGTTTTGTGCCAGATTTCATGGCAACAATGGTTTGGAATTTGGGGCATTCTGTGTAAGAGGTGGCATGGGGTCTGCCATGGGTGCTGCAGGTTGTATCTTCTTGTTGATTAGGGCAGTCAGTGACAAGGTGAACACCTAACACATCAGGGTTTGGCTGTGCATACGGTTTGGGTGTGATCAAATCATTGGAAGCTGAAGCATTGGAGAATGGGAAGTCTTGCATTAGCAGGTTCTTCCACATGAAGTTTCAGGAACCATAGAGTGATCCTGTCTCTAAGGGCTTGGTTGGCTTGGTCGATGTCACATAGTGTGAGGCAGATCAGTGGTGTTGGTTCGCTGGTCTTGGTGGGTTGTTGGATGGAATGTCTGGGTTGATGGGTGTACTGTTGAAAGCATTGGGAGGTCAGAGCTTAAGTAGAGTAGCATAGTCTTGAGGGTTGCAACACTTGATCATGATGCCTCACCTGGAGAGCCTATTGGCATTGATGAAGTTTATCTTTGGAAAAAGGTGACAGAGTTCTGATGCAGTCTGGGGCTGTCAAAGGCTAGTGGGGATACCTGTTCACTGTACCGTTTTTCTCTTAAGACATATTTTTTCTTCTTTTCCGTTCACCATATGACTGTTGGCTATGTAAATTGCAAATAGGTAATGTTGCTCTCATCATATTTTATACCAAAAATGAATGACTAATGCTCAAACACTTGCAATGTTTATTGAATTGACTTTAAACCACATAATAAAAGTCTTTACAGATTAAGTGTAGGATACATAAGCCAGTAAATTCCACATGGTGTTCTTGGAGCAGAGGTCAAATCAGCTAATTTCTTTGTATTTGCTTTGTTGTTCTAGAGAGTATCATATTACAGTGTAACGTAAACAGTAATGACACAAGCAGTGATTTGTTGCTTTATTTTCAGCAGATTTCTACTTCAGTCATTGATAGTAAAATAAATATGAAATGCTTAACAGGTCAAACTCTCAAGAGAAGTACTTCTAAATTTCGTTAACAATAATAGAGAGAAAAAGGCACAGTTTCTCATATTATTTTTGATTGTACAACTTTTCCCTTCATTATACTTTGATTTGTCTACTGGCTGAAGAATCAAATATTTTGTTCAGGTAGAGGTAAAAACAGATAAAATATAAATTTAATTGAAAAGTTTTATATTTATTTTGGAGGTTACACAAATAAAATTTGATATTTTTGAGACAAAGAAAAGTATTATTAATCTTAATTTAATTAAAATCCAATTTGCACTTGGACTAGTCAAAAAAGAGATTTGATATATTCCTGGACAAATCTTTAATAAAAATACTTCATTAAAAAATTATTGTTTGTGTACAAATGACATGTAATGTTTACTGAAAGTCTACAAAATTTGTGAAGATAAACATACTGTATTAAAAGTTATAGTATGGAAACAAATATAAAGTGGTTATGAGGTCAGTCAATTTGGCCAACCCATGTTGAGAGTTAACTGTCTATCAAACTGATATGTATAAGGTGAGAAATAGCAGCCAAGTGCTAGGGACAATGATGTCCAAGAATGCACTTAGCAACTGTACGCCTTCAATAGTCAGTTTTTACAGCTTGTGGGTCATAGATAACATAGGGGAAATATATTTTGAAATCTGCTCTTTATATTGGTTATAAGCATGCAATTCAAATCTAATATGTTGGTGAGCGACAGCCCTCTCTAATTTTATGTGGGCGTGGCTTCTGCTGGTGGAGGAGGACATTTTTGCAATGTCATTCTTGGAATTGAGTTCATGGAATTTGATCTAGTTAGTGGTAAACATACAGTATATGTGTGTGTACTTTGACCATCTGGATAAAACCTGTACTAAGGCACAACACAGTTGAAATAAAAGAAAGAAAAGCTAAGATATTTTTAACCATGAGCAGGTCACATGATAAGAAAAATGAAAATTTAATTATTGTTTTAGAGGTTTCTTTTGAAATAAAGGAATATAAAACTTTGAATTGTAATGTACTTGATAGTTTTAAGTTCATTAAACTACAATGATAGTAAAATGCTTTAATTAAATTTTGAATGTAACTCAGTAACACTTTGTGACACGTGCAAAAAAGGAATGTAAAGAGTGCATTGGTAGTTGTAGAGTTAAGTGAGACATCTTTCTGATATTATTGTCTTGGATCGCCCCCCCCCCCCACACACACACACACACTACCATAGGGACAAGTTGATTTTATTTCAAGACCCCTCTTTCCTCCACAATACTTGTCTGCTCGTGAGGGTAATCAAATGTTTTCCTCAATAAATCCCCCTTTCCTTACTTCTCTGTACAATTATTCAGACCTTCATCATCTCCTTTTAAAGCAGTTTGCTGTTATCTTGCATGCACTGCTGTCAAATGAAGCAGTTGTCATGTCTTTTTTTATTATTATTATTCTCATGACTTATCTCCTTCTACCTTGACTAGTTTGGCTAAACAGCTCATCCATCTTATCTATTGCTCTATAGGACATGAATCCTTTCATCTTTTTCCTTTTAACCCTATTGTGAAAGGCATCTTTTACTGTGCATATCACGAGGTTTTAGTGATTTACATTCAATATTTTATTCATCTACTTTTTGTTTATGCTATACCAATTAGTATAGCATAAAATCTTAGCTAATAATCCATATTTTAATTGTATATAAGTTTTAATTTCTTAATTTTATAAGGCAGTATTGTGAAAAATCCTGAATTTTCCCTAGTGTGACATATTTTTTTCTAGACTTCCTCTCGTCTCTATTTTGTCCACAACCCATCCAATAAATACAAAATTAAACATAAATTACTCACAATAAAATTGCCATTGCTCAGACAAACTATGATTTTTATAGCCATCAATTTTGTTTGGTTACAGAGCTATCAAATAGAAATTCAGACCCCTTCTGCCACATCCACCTATCACATTCTCTCTTTCAGTATTTGTTAATAGTTCTCTCTTTTGTTTAATTCTATATTATCTATAACCAATATAAAGCCAAGTTTTTCATCTATCAAATGATCTATTACATAATGTTGTTTTCTGAATGTAGAATTGTCAATTTCATTGTTAGTACAAGCTTCTTTCTCATGGAAAATAATGACTAGCTTGGATGAATTTATAACGTCTCTTGTCGCATAGTTAGAAAGCCAGAAAAAGTGTGAGAGTTAGGGGAAATTGTCTACTTTTTACATGTTATTAGTCTATATTCTTTGGTGCATTATTTAATTAAATAAAAATTATTTAGTACATTAATACCACTAGTATAAATAAAGTAGGGTTAAGTGTCATCGACAATCGACAGCAAGAAAGAAAATTCAGGTAAGTGCTTTATTTCTTGTTTTTTATGTTTATTCTTTATTTAGTATTATAAAAGTAACTAAAATGTAAAAATAGGGATTTCTTAAGGTTAGATTAGGTGGAATGAATAATAATAATATAATAAAAATGTTTCATGAAACATGCACGTGAGCAGCTCATGGGTAATGTCATTTGATAGCATAACATGACCTCCACATTCTCCAAGTGATTTACAACTTGTAATGGTGCAAATAGTAGTTAGACACACTTCAAAGAACAATATAATTTAATTATAAATATATTTATACTGTTATGAGTTTAAGCTAGTTAGGATAAATGAATGTCATTCTAGAAAAAAAAAGTAATTTAGATGTATTTCTTTCTTTTTTTTTTTTTTGGTGGTTACAAGGCTGGTCAAATTGACCAACATTGTATAGAGTAAGGATAGAGAAAGTAACAGATAAAATATAAAATTTTACTGAAAACAAGCATTTTTTAATATACTTAAGAGGTTTTATAGATTACACAAATCAAATCCAAGATTTTTGAGATGAAGAAAAGTATTTTTAATCTTATCATGAAATTCACTTTGCACACGGATAATTCAAAACAAAAACTCAATGTATTCAATGACAAATCTTTTTTTTTTGTTTATTTTAAATGCTTCACAGAAAAATATGATTTTTTTGTATGTGAAAGACTTATAATGTTTACTGAAAGACTGCCAAATTTTGTGAAGATATACGTACTGTATTAAAAGTTAGTAGTATGAAATCTATAAAGACTTTGTACAAGTACAGAGAGGTCATGTGGTCAGTCAACTTACCCGAGCCCCTGTAGATAGAGTTAACTCACGTAAAGCTCATCATCCTGCAGCTTTTCTTGCCTCTGGATGTGAAATTGCAGGTACCATGTGAATGACTTGTGACACCTTTGTGTCACATTACTTAAACTGTGTTGCAGTTTCTTCGACATCTGGGATATATACACCTTCAACCACCATTCTCCAATAATCCCAGAAGCTCTAAAGACATGAAATGTTGATTACTTCTTGCAGATTCCACAAAAAAAAAGGCAACCACCTTAAAAGAGAAAGATATATAGACAGTGGAAGCCACCACGTGACCAGTATTGTCTCACAAGGAATACATCTCTATTCTGAAATATGCATAAAGTAGGAGATAAAATAAAGTGTTAAGTTCATCTGCCCATGCTCAGTGTTCAATGTTGAGATGAAGTTTTCTGCACGACCTGCTTTAGCAGTTTGTATATTTTGCTTTTGAAGCCATACTGCTACTTAAAAAAAAAAGCACTGTATGTTGTTTCCTGCCCTTATACCTGACCGGCTCCTGCTTGTTCCTATTCTTCTGTCTCATTGCACAGTCTCTGTATGAGACCTTATGTAGATGATAAATTATTCCTGTTTGGTTTACTCACCTATTTAATGTTCTCTCCTCTGCAATTTTCTTCTGCTGCAGAACTATTGCTTCTCCAGTATCATGCTGATGGGAGATTGATATACAGAATTCCCCTTTGGGTCAGTATGATCCCATTGGTATGAGACTAAGTGAATGCACCTCTTGATTGAAAGTAGTTCAGGGATATCTACCTAGAAGTGTATTACAGGACACTCCTACACTAAGAATTGGACCATTTCTGGTCATAACCAGCCAGATGAATTTTGTGTTCTTCTTGGGTCATAGTTCCGAGATGATTCATTCCTGCAGCTGCTTATTCTGGTTAGTATATCACGTGGGTAGATATACAAACATACTGCATGGCTTGACTTATTGCCCTAGCAACACTACATGTACATTATCTGCTACCTCCATGAGATATACAAGCCAGTTGAGCAATCTTTACATTCTCCTCCATTTGTGACACTATAGACTATACAGGAGGTTCATTTGACAGTACCTTTCTGCACTACCACTTATATCAAGTGAACACTATCCACTGGAAACAGAAGTAGTCTCTCACAAATTATATTCATCACACTAGCCTCCCCCCCCCCCCTAGTGACTGACAAACTCCATGACTTTTCATTTTCTGTTACTATATTATCAGAAAGGAGCTCATCTTTTTTTAGTGTGTTTCTCTACCCTAGTCTCTCCATCATTTCTTCAACATGATATTCTAGCTAATTGTTTTGTGGAAAGATGAGTTGCATTTATGAAGTTAACATTTTGCTTACCTGAAAATGTATTTCAGAGAGATAGTCACCTCTCCATAGAACCATTCACTCATCTTTATAACTTCCAATATGTCTCTTTTGTCTGGTCAAGAAAGATTTTGGTATCCACAAAGTGTCGAAGAGGAGTACTATGCATGAAGGATGTCACCCTACTGTTGGTGCAGGGGTATAGTCTAATACTGATTGCATCACAGATCGGCACAGTACACATTATTACATGTAGGAGTGAGAGTTTCATTCAAAGGTTTGGTGCAAGTGCATAAATGTTTTTTCTCAGTGACATGAGGTATTAACTATTTCTTCTCGAGCATCTGTCTGGGGTACATTTTTAGGTAAGGAAAATGTTAACTTTTAACTACAGACTTCTGAAAGTGCACAAACCCTTACTGTGACGTTTTAGTGCTGTATTGTAACTGAAAACAGATTTTGTTAATTGCCCAGCTACTGCTTCTTTCACCACCTTTTATTTTATAAACTATGTCGACATTCTTACAAAAATAGTAGAAGAAAATGATGCCAGCACTATTCCATCTTTCAGAACTATATTGTATAAGGTGTGCATATATTGTTTTGATAAGATTCATTGTAATATATTTTAGTGGTTTATTGTATTACATTACTGCAAAACAATCACATAGAGTGCTTCAAATTCTTGTACAACACATTTATTTACTATTAAAATTTTTTGCTTCTATCTCTTGTTTGTAGATCCAACTTACATGGCCAAATGTTGTGACAAGCCATTTCCAGGTTATTGTACTTCAACACAAGAAGCTTCCTATACAAAAATTAAAAATAGAAAATTTGAGAAGCAAAGCTTTAGTGATGTGTTTAATAAAACATTTTCAAGAAATGTTTCCCCTAGTGTAAATAAGACATTTAATTGTGTTATGTGTGGCAAAGAATTCTGCAGAAATAGTGACCTAAAAAAACATTTGAGAATACATACTGGGGAGAAACCATTCAAATGTGTTGTTTGTGACAAACAATTTGGAAGTAGTAGTGACCTAAAGAAACATGAAAAGATACATACTGGGGAAAAGCAACACAGTTGTATAGTGTGTGGAAAAGTCTTTGGAAGAAACAGTGACCTAAAAATACATGAGAGGATACACACTGGGGAGAGACCATACAGTTGTGTTGTGTGTGGCAAACAATTTGGAAGTAATAGTGATCTGAAAAAACATGAAAAGGTACACACTGGTAAGAAACCATACAGTTGTATAATGTGTGGTAAAAGATTTGGAAGAAATGGTGACTTAAAAATGCATAAGAGGATACACACTAGAGAGAAACCATACAGTTGTGATATGTGTGGCAAAGAATTTGGTAGAAATAGTGACTTAAAGATACATTTGAGAATACACACTGGGGAGAAACCTTACAGTTGTGTTATGTGTGACAAAGACTTTGGAAGCAATAGTGACCTGAAGAAACATGAAAAGATACACACACGAGAAAATCAACACAGATGTGTAGTGTGTGGGAAAGATTTTGGAAGAAATAGTGACTTAAAAATACATCAGAGGATACACACCGGGGAGAAACCCTACAGTTGTGTAATATGTGGAAAAGAATTTGGAAGAAATAGTGACCTAAAAATACATGAAAGGATACATACTGGAGAGAAACCATACAGTTGCATAGTTTGTGGCAAAGAATTTGGAAGTAATAGCAGCCTCAAAAAACATGAGATGATACACACTGAGGGCAAACAGTATAGCTGTATAGTGTGTAGCAAAGAATTTAGAAGGATTAGTGACTTAAGAAAACATGAGTGGATGCACACTGTAAAGAAGCCATATAGTTGTGTAGTGTGTGGCAAAGAATTTGGAATCAAAAGTTATCTAAAAAGACATCAGAGTACACATACTGTAGAGAAACCTTATGCTTGTGAAATATGTGGCAAAGAATTTGGGGTTATAAGCTACCTAAAAAAACACCGAAAAATTCATACCAAAGAGAAATCATGAAATTGAATTTTATAATCAAAAACTTAGAAGAAACCTGAATATAATTCATAGGTGATTATACTGAAGAAAAACTGAGCAGTGGTGATATCAGTGGTAAGAAATCTTTTTTAAAAGATTCACATTTAAAATGTAAGTAGCTCATACAGAAAACAAAAAGTGTGTTTAGTGAGTTTGGCAAAGAACTTTCTGTTTAACGATATGTCAGAGAAAAGGCAATGAAAATAATAACAATACTATAATGGTTTCTGTGTCAGAGAATGCACACATTGTTTAAATATCACAAAAACGTAATATCACCCACAATGAAAGTGTGTGAAACCATTGTGTAGTGTACATTATATAATTTTTAACCAATGGCGACCTTAAAATTACAGGAACAATTTTTGATAGTAAAATATTTATATATATAATGAAGTGTAGTATGTGGCAACAATATTAAAAGGAAATGTAGCAAAGATATTGAAAAGAAGTGTAATGGTGACTTAAACCACAAGATTTGATTTATTACAAAGGGGAGATATTATAGTAATGTACATGTGATGTAGAATTCTCATGAAGAGAAACATTACAGCTAGAATGTTTAGGTTGAGTAATTTTGAAGTGTCAATCTAGATAAGCCATCAATATATGAAGCAGATGGCAAGTAACCTTAGTAACAAAATTATGGATGATGTTTTAGGAAAATACCAAATCTGTATAAAACCCTAAGACTTTTTGGTTGTTGGGTGAGGTAAAATCTGTGGGGTCACTAGAATGTTTTTTTTTGTTGTTTTTTACACTCAATTCTTTGTATAATTTCTGTGCAGAATTTACTAAAATTGTCTTGCCTTTTGATGATAATTATTTATGGTGATTTAAGTTTATAGGTGCATCAGTTTCTAAGAAGTGTTTTTCTCTTAATTCCTGCTAACCATTTTATAAAAACATCTCCACACAGGATCTTCAGAGTTGAGGTATATTCACAACTTAGTTATCAGTCTAAACCAATTTATTTAAAAAAAGAAGATATGTTAGTAAGATGGGAACTTACAAATATCTGATAAAATTAATACCATATGCAAAAAATATTCCAATTTGATTCATTCAAAAAAAAATTGTTTTCTAAACAGTTTTGTAGTTAAGCATGAGCTTTGTAGTTTTGTACTGTGTTCTAAACTGAGATATGAATAAGCTTGCTGGAATCAGAATTTATTAGATTTTGCTTTAAAAAATTACCTGAGAGCTACAAAAACAAAAGTTCAGTTGAATGTACAATTCTTATTTTAACTTGTATACATCAAAGTATTTCAAGTCCAATATGAAACACTGCTTTGGAAATTCATCTTGAGAAGAAGGATTTTAGTGGAAAATAGCATAATTTCAGAATTATCACTTATTCTCAGTTTTTTATATTTATTTATTTTTTTATTTTGTTAGTGCAGCAATAAAACTGTGAGCTCTTGCATTTTAGAACAGTTACCTACTTCACAGTTTAAATAATATTTTAAAATTTACTATTGAATAGTTATGTTGATTATGCATGCATTTTGGCAATGTCTGTAAATTATATGAATAATAGTGATAATTGTGATACTTCAGTACGTGTGCTGTATTTCAATTATGAACATGACCGACCTAATAAATCTGTTGAAGATATGATAAATGAAATATGGACATAGTTTAACACAATTTTTGTGTGTGTGTGTATGTTGTATTGTCTGGTGGATTTTATTAAATATTTACAGATGATTGTAGTTTGTTTAATTGTAAAAAATTCATGTGCTAATAGAAGAAAGTGGGTAAAAAACAAATTTTATTTACATGACAAATAGCAATAAACATCTAAGAAAATTTTCTGTCTTAGCTAATGATAAAAAACAGGGATAGTCACTAAATTTAAAAGCAGTCCTAGCAGAACTCTATTTTATATAAACATAGTTTACAAATGATATCCCTTTTTATGACAAAACATATTGCAGTCAAAGTTGCTGTTTCAGTAACTCAAAGTGTCTCAGTGAACAAGGCTGTATAGATCTACAGTATTGCTTTAGTTGAATGGTTCCATGACTGGAGGACTATCATGACAGATGTACTGGATGAACATAGTCAAATGCAATACTTTCAACTAATATGGTTGTGTGTGTATATATGTGCTAAGATGCAATGTGTTAACGAAGTCATGCAAGATCAGACCTGTGGTTACTAATAGGTATAACTTGACAAAACTATTCCAACAATCATTTTCAGTACTTATGATGAGTTATATGTTTTATGTAATGTGTAATGCTCCTATCATCTTCAAGTGGTTATTAGAAATAACATTCCATGTTTTACAGTTTTGTTCTTTTGCTGTTGATTCACTTTTCCTCAGTCCCAGAAACCAGACAACAGCCTTACAAATTGGTAAAGTTTCAGATACATATAAATTTTTGTTCATTTGTGATCAGTTATTTTCCTTTACTGTCTCTGTTCCACTTCTTATTCTTTTAACAATTGTTAACCTGTGTTTTGTGGAAGCATTTAGTTTTTCTGTCCAATGTCACTGTATCTTACCACACATCTACTATAAATTTAGTCTTACCAACATAATTAAGCTACCTTTCTTTTGTTGTTGTTGGCCATTAGGAAATGCTTTCCAGTTACTTTAAAAGTTACAGAAAAATTCCAGATATGCTGACAAATTAAATAAGGTTTCTTGAGTAGCATGTCCTTTATGGATACAACTAGTCAGTTAATGTGAAATCTGTCTGTCACCTTGTTATTAACACACTACAGTATTCATGATGGCAATTCAAAGAAAGACTATTCCACTAAGGAAAAAGTTGAGTAACCACAACGTGTTTGAAATCTGACAGTCTCTTCTTGTTTTATTAAATTTTCATCCATTGAAATTCATAATATCACATGCACTGATGCAAATATAATTTCTTGATTGTTGATTATATTATAGTATCTTATACTCAGATAACTGTGCTAGTTTTGTTAAACATTAAAAGAATTAAGTCCTGCTTCTGGTGATTTAAGGGACTAGTTATTACAGATAATCAGTCCTGATACTTGAGTTTCTGTTTAATTTTTTATTGTCAGATTTTGATTGGATTTTTTGCAGTTGAGTTAATCTTTTTTTATTTTTTTACCTTGTCAGAATGAATCTTTCCCATTCACCGAGCCTTGAAAGGGATTCATATTTTATTAAGTAGCATGCTGAGTTGTGCAAAGCAGCCAGCTTGGGATGGCAAGCACTTAAGTTTAAAACTACCGTGCAAACACACACTGTGAGAAGTGTCGATCTCATGAATAGTTTGTTGTGCAATTACTATAGGCAGGAATATTTCTTAAAAGATACATTATCAATAAAGTTGTATCCTTCATATGCACCGTCACATTTAGTACCAGTGAGAGTATATAGGAACAAATATTGTTTTTCCCAAGCACATATTTCAGTGTTTGGAAATCAAAACAGGTATGTTGAATGTAGGGTACATACAGTAATAAAACATTTCATAAAGGATAAATTGTATATTGAAGAAGAAATATACACTGCTTTGTGTACTGTTCCTGTCGACCTATCAACTGTGAAGTCTAGAGACTACAGCTTTTTTATCCATATATTTGCTGTAGTCAATGCATGTAACCATTCAATATGAAGCATTTATCCAAATATAA